GGCAGTGCCACTCTCTGCTGGTCAGTGCCACTCTGCTGGTCAGTGCCACTCTGCTGGGCAGTGCCACACTCTGCTGGCTGGTGCCACTCTGCTGGCTGGTGCCACTCTGCTGGTCAGTGCCACGCTCTGCTGGGCAGTGATGGTCCAGCCCTGGGAGCTCCAGCCCGGAGCTGTGTCAGGCTGCTCCGGCTGCTCCCTGCACATCTGGCACACAGCTGGTGTGCTGGGCTGGGGCACTGCCCGCTGCCACTGCCGCAGCTCTGCTTTCCCCAGGTTTTCTCCTGCTTTCCCAAGGTTTTCTCCTGCTTTCCGTAAGGTTTTCTCCTGCTTTCCCAAGGTTTTCTCCTGCTTTCCCGAGGAGGAACAGAACCTTCTTGCAGCTTATTTGTCTTTTGTGATCTAAGCAAACCACCCAATCTGCTGAGTGCTCACAGCTGCCAGGACTGCCAGACATGCACAGAGTATCCCCAGGACTTCCACTGGTGAAATGCCTGATTGTCTCTTCATAAAATGTAAACCACTAAACGAGACTGGAAAACAAAGAGGAAAAATGGAAATAAAGGCGCAGTGAACTCAGTGTTTTCAAGAACAGCCTGTTCCCAGTGACCCCTTTGGCCACCCAAATTGCACGTTTGCCCCTTGGAGGTGCAGTCACAGCTACAGCCAAAGATGTTTGAGGAATAAATTACTGTGAAAGTCAGCTTTTATTTAAACTCCCTCATTTCAAGCACAAAGTGGTTCTCTGTTTCCCTGGAGACCGGGATATGTAAGAAGGCAGAATTTTCTCTCCATTTCCCTTTCCTACACTGGACCACTGTAGAGCAGGGTTTGGCTTTTCCTTTTTCCCTCCCGCAGGACTGGCAGCAGTTCTGACTGCTCATTTCCTCAGGTGACTGGAGCTGTGGCACTGACGTGGGTGACCTGTGCTGACACTCCTGACATGCAGGTGTTGCTGAGGGGATCAGCATCTTTCACTGCACCTTCCTCACTGGGTTTAAAATTTCTGTCAGGCAATGAACAGAAAGGGAGTCCCTTTCTGAGTTCTTGAAGTAGAAAATGATTACAATTGAAATGAATATAATTCTGCTATAATAGTGAAGCATTAAAAAAACAAACAAAAAACTTACAAGATCTTTTATTTGTCTCTGACACCTGTTTAGAAAGGTAAAACCACTTACTACACTACTCAATGAAGAATAAATTGATCAAACTCTTTTTGCACTGTCCGCTTTTGCACAGGGAAAGGAATTAGGAGATGGAATGGAATGAAACCCGCCTCTGGCATGAGGACAAACACATCCTTATGTCCCAATCATAACTTGAAAATTTATTGGGAAAAGACTGACTCTATGCTCTGGATTTCATTGTCCAAGTATTAGTGAAGAATGAGAAAGAAATGACAACTGACAGAAGCTGATAGATGGCATCTTTCATACTTTTCCCACAGAATGTAAAGGCAGGAGAAAGGAAGGAGGAAAGCTGATAGCTCAGATATTCACAGTGTATTTAAACACAAACCTATACCTGAACAAAGCTAAAATTACTGCCTTGTGTAGAAGTGTTCTATCTTTTTATTTAGAGCAAATTCTTTCTGATTTTTCAAATAAATACTCTTTGAGAACTATTCTTTACCTTCAGAAAACTGTTCTTAAATGATACCTTTCCATTGTAATCCTTTTACAACTTCCAGGCTCATTGAAATAATGATTGCCTCCTCACATACATTCTGTGAGGAGCACAATAACTGATGTATCCATTTCAAAACATGCTGGGAAAGAAAGCAGCATCAATTTTAAATGAAAACTTGGGAAACAGCATCTCAGGAGCCACGGAAGTCCTGCCGGTGTAACACCTGAGGTCTATGGCTCAAGGGCTGTCCCTTGCCGTGACGTTTCGGACGTGGTCTGCTGGCACGGAGAGCTATTTCTGAGCTTTCATCAACCATTCCAGGGGCATTCCCGTTCAGCAGGCCACGGAAACCCAAGCCACGAGCACGCTGAGGCTCCGCAGCCTCATGAGCTGCAGCAGGACCGAGACCTGGGGCAGCGCTGGGCAGCGCAGGCCGGGCTGGGCAGGTCGGGAACAGCCCGGGAAGGAGCTGGGGCACTGCTGGGTGGGAGCTGGCCGTGCCCCCCACTCCGTGCCCCCGCTCGGGAGCCAGAGCCCCTGTGCTGGGCTGATCCCAGCGTGGGCAGCGGGGCTCGGGGGATTCTGCCCCGCTCGGGTCAGACCCCACCTGCAGAGCTGCCTCCAGCCCCGGGGACGCCAGCACATCGGCTTTTCGGAGCAAGTCCAGAGGAGGCCATGGAGATGGTTTGGGGGACGGAGCACCTGTCCCATGAGGAAAGGCTGAGAGAGCTGGAACTGGCCAGCGTGGAAAATAAAAAGCTTTGCGGCGACCTAATCGCGGCGTTCCAGCGCCTGGAGGGGGCGTAGGAAAAGGATGGAGCGAGACTGTTTACAAGTCAGGACAAGGGGGAATGGCTGCTAGAGAGCTGCGATAAGGGCAGTGAGCCCAGGGAGCGAGGCAAGATGAGCGCTGTGCGCTGGCACGGACACCGCCGAGCGGGGAAAGGCTGGGCTGCACCGCAGCTCCTGCCCGGCGGTCTTTGCCAGCGAGACTCAAATAACGGCGCCGGGGACACCGGGCCGGGCGGGGCTCGGCTCGGGAGCCGCGGGGGCGGCCCCGGCCCCGGCCCGGAGCGCCGCCCTCGGCACGGCCGCGGCCGCAGCCCCGCGCCCGGGGGATGCGGGCGGGGCCGGGAGGTGCATCCGACCCGCCCCGCTCCCGGCCCCGGCCCCGGCCCCTCTGCCCGGCCCCGCTCCGCCCGCATCCCCCGGCCCCTCTGCCC